TGATTAACAATTATTGACTTGACGTCAAGAAAATGTTATCAGAAAAAATTTTAAGAACTGGATATTTGCCGTTTGTAGCTTTCATACTCCTCTATGTCTTTCAGACTATTTTTCTCGTAAATCAAAAATTATAATCCTTAAAATAAGAATACAATTTCATGTACTACATACATGCATACGTGTATGTAGTGGTTACACATACTCTGTAAAAATCTGTATGAACATCAACGAAGTTGTGAAAATTAGCGTGTACGTTATAAATTTTTCCTAATTTTATACGCTGTGCTGCTATTTATTTATGATATTTCACTTGCATAGATCACACCCAAACTCATTCACCATTTAACCTATTACCTCAAACTCTATTTATACATACATACTAGCGTACACATTTGTATACGAATGTCGTATGTTTCAAAAATTATTAAAGGTCAAGTACGTGCAATTTGATCAATCAATTGATAGATTGCAATGAAATCATTTCCTTATTTTCCCAACATCATTCCCTCACTTATTATTCACACCTCAAACGAGCATTTTGCCGTGAGCAAAATATTATATTTTATTACCTAATCAAATTTGGTCATAACTCAACACTCCCATAAAACTAAACAGCAATTGATTTAGCAATAAAAGTCTACTGCTGCTTTAGCAATAAATTCATGCAGAATATTTTGCCCAACGGCCTTGACCTTTGCTACTTACATATACAGCCACAAAAGCAATCATCCATTTCCATAAAATATGGTAACTCATCATGCCTCTTGCCTTTGGCTCGCCAAATGGTGGCAATGACACGAAATCAATGCCTCGAACTACTTTGAAAAGTGCTATGGAAATTTACGACTTTTACATAATCAGCGTTAAATGTTTGCGTTGAAATATTTATGTGCGTGCAAAGCTTCTTGTCAATCGAATTTTTAAGAAGCAAGCAAGTAAATGCCATCATGGCCCACAAAGGTATGGATGGGGACAATATGCTGCGGGCGGTGATAATGAGCGCGCTGTGTATAGCGCTTCGATAGCTGAGCACTTGAAAAGAAGCTAAAAACAAGAAATTTATGATTGCAAGAAACGCAGCCAACATTAAACTCAGCCTCCATTGACTGACTTTGCTGCGTGCTCTAGCTCCAAACAGCTCTTGATGTTATCGCTCGTTTCATATTGCCACATACAGTCCTGCGGGCCACGCACACTTTGCCAATTACGTTCAATTGAAGTGTTGGCTTTTGCTTCAAACTGCCCGTCTTGCCCGCTGCCAATGTATGTAAGTGTAGCCAGTAGCAAATACTTGTTTGCAAAAATCGTTAAGTGGAAGACACGTACTTACTCGCTTTCATTTGATAAATTTATTACACAAGTTATTTATTTCGTTTATACGTTCTCATTTTCTTGATTTCTTATCATCTCGATTTTGAATTTGATTTTGTGGTCATTATGGGGAAGTATCATGCAGCCATTGGTTTACCATTTTCGTTGGCACGTCTTCATTTTTTCATTGCCTATTCCATGCAAATTCTTTGATACGCTCGGCAGTTAGCCATCTGGCTGCTCTAGGCCATTGCCATACCATTCCCTTATTTAATTTCTTAGAAACGGCTGCTGTGGAATGCAAGTATTTTTTTTTTTTGAAATTTTAATGCCATTTATAGCAATTTTTTATAAAAAAATATTTAGTGGTCGCTCCAAGAGCTCAAAGTTTGCCATGTATTTAATGTGGAGGGAAAAAACTTTTTTGTAAGAATATTACAGAATGCTTGAAAAACAATAATTTTCAATCGAATAATTACGTATGTATGTATTTTAGGTTTCTCTTTAGGAGACTTCAAATAATTGTACCCAATTGATAATTAAAATTTTTTAATATTATCGACATTTAATGGGTCGCCCCATAGGTAATAATACAAAGTGGTTAACTAAACAATTGGGTATTATTTTTTTAATTTATGGTCCGAATTGCTAAGTATTCGAGGCATATATAAGCCGTATGCAAGCAAACTAATAATATAAGCAAAAACAATGAGAAATCTCAGTGCAAATATTTTATTTTTTATTTTTTGTACCTCTTTTTATATATTAATGCCCTTATTCATAAAAAACAAAGTAAGTTTAAAAAGCTCTTTAAAGTGACATTTTCATACAAATTTTCGATTTATACAGAAGTCAAAATCTTCTTTATTTTTTTATGAATTTGGGTGTAAGAGTCAATTTTACATAGAACTTACATATGTAAATTATCCGAATTTTTGTCTCATTTCCCATGACAATGAAAATCAAATCTAGGGGAAATCTCAGTTTTTGATGTATTAAATTTTCGTTTATTTGGAATAATTTTATTTTTACATTTATTCTTTTTTATTCATGAGTTTGCGCATAGACACACATACACTAACATATGTATGTACATATTCCTCTGCAGGTAAAAGTCCAGAAAAAAATTCAAAAGGGAAATTAAAATATGCGCAGATTAGAGCAGCTGTTGAAAATTGAATTTATTTTCGCATATTAATAATAATTCTTCCTCCCCCTGCAACGCACTTGGCAATTGTTGAAATATGAAAAATATTACAGAATTTACATAAATACAGACATTTGCGTTTTTGTTTTCTAAACAAATATGGTTTATTAAAATGAAATTGAAATTTTAAGTGACTATGAATTTCAATTGAATTCCCTTCGTCGCGATTTCAGACCGTTACTCCGGAAATTGAATTTTTTTAATTAAAATATTAAGTGATGGCAAATTTATTATTCTTCTTGTTTGGAACTGTAACCATCTAACCGAATTCAAACGAACTTAATACAGCAAGTTAGGAGTTTTTTAGCGAATTTAAACGCTAGTGTAAATCATAAAAAGTCAAATGTAACAGTTTTTAAAAATGCCGCGCGTAAGTGAAAAAGAAGAGTTTTTACAATTACATTTCGAAGCAGCCTTAACTGATAAATTTTTTGTTGATGTATTCGAAGGCAATAAAAAAAACATGTGTTTCGCGACTTTGACTTTGCAATGATTGCCAGCCCAAATAAAATTGCAAAGTCGCAAGAATGTTTCCATACAAAAGTAATCAGCTGTGTCGCTTAGTGGCAAATTTTGCAACAAATGCCACATTTGCAACAACTTTGCGACGTTTCATGAATCCCACTACTGTAATACTGTGTATCAGGGATGTTGCGAATATTTGCAGAGTCCATTCTAATATTGTTGAAATGACTCTAAGTCTGTCGGTTAAGTAGTATATCAAGCAACATTGATGGGCTCTCAACAAGTAATCGTGAAAGTCTTATAAGTAACCTAGAAATAATTTAGATTCCTCCAGCGAAAGCGAAGGCTCGGATGTAGAATCTGGCCACATTTAAAAATGCGAAATTAAAGCTCAATTGAAGGCCTATCTTTAAGAAAAACGAGCTCATCTCGGTGAAAATCCCCTCGATTGGTGGAAAACTAAACTAAAATACGACAAATTGACAAATCTGGTACGTAAATGTTTGAGCGCTCGACCCGCCAGCCTTCCAAGTGAGCAATTGTTCAGTGCAGCCGGCCTTATATACGAGCCTCTAAGAAATCGCCTCATGGGAGAAATGGCAGAAAAATTACTTTTTTTGAAATATAATATGCCCCTTTTGAACTTTTACTACTAGATTTAAACACTGTATAGGTTAAGTACTCGTTCTAATAATTTACAAAATTTTTAAGTAATGAAAACGATGACTTAAGTTGATTATATCTTTTTTAATGTTATTCCTAACATTCGCATTTGCATTCGCACATTCGCATTCGCGAACTTGAAAAATATGACACTAGAAACATCCCTACTGTGTATACAAGTCATATTTTTGTGATTTCAGCTAATTTAAATAGTCTTAGTTTGCTTAACGAATTGTTAAGTTAATATATGTACATTGAGTAAAATATAAACGTTTCATGAGCATCCTCTAAAAGGTTTGGAAGGTGCCCTCAAATCTATCTCTGAAAATATTTTTCGCACCACTCTAATATACCTACATATACATATGTATGTACACATATACACACATATATTTATTTAATCAGGTTAAGTGGCGGCCGCTGGGGTTTATCGATTAGGGTACTACCCTGTTACAGGCAACATCTACAGTGACTCAAGCAAATGGCCACGTGTTGATTTGTTTTTTTTTTTTTAATATTCGTTGTTTTTTAAGCTAAAAAATTGCGTTGATTTTTGAGATTTTTTTTTGAAACTACTGGCGTTTAGACCAGTAAAGTTGAACTTTTTCTCAAAAAAAAACTTGTAACAGCTATTTTTTTATGCAGTTTACTTCTATGTGACGCGTAGATCATGGATCCACAGTCTCGCTCCTAATCTCATATGGCTACATTCCGCCATCTTGGATTTAAATGTATGTATATATGAGCAGAATATGAAGATTTTGCTGCTTTGAGCTTGATGACAACTATTGAAGGAGTAGCGGATTCTAGCCAGGGCTAAGTAATGCCGATTTCGATTTTACCGAAAAATGCAACCTTCTCTACGGCCTCTACGCACAAACACTAAGAACGCGGCGAATAAAATGCAAACTTTTTTTGTAGAAACGAAAACGACATCAGTCGCTACAACGAAAACTGAAAACTTTTGCTAAAAAATGTTTTTTTTTTTATAAGTAAAGCGTATGAAAAGGTGTATAGTCCTTTATAGTATAAAAAAAAACCTTTTATTCAAAATATACCCATTGAGAATTAAAAAGCGTATAAAAGGACTATAAAGTATAATGTATTCCCGGTAGGATTGAGAGCAATTTAGATTCCTAATTGGCCTCTGTTGCGTTGGGACTCTGACGGCCGGAAAGCTCACGCTTGCAAAGCATAAAAGCACAAAGAATATTTCAAAATTATGTAGGAAATCACAGAAATTTAATATTATAAAGTACACAAAGCAGCTCTTATATTTACACAACTACCATTTAAATAGTTATTTCTATGCTTTGACTCATCTCCAAACGGAATGTAACAAAGCTAAATTTTATTAGCCCCATCGAAACATTTGAATTACACTAAAATCGCAACTTACCTGCAACACAGCAAAGATGAGCGCAAACACGGTGACAACCAACAGACATGCGGCCACCGCAATGGCAGTAATTGTCGTCAGCGGTGAACCGACACGTGAAAAGAAACCACCAAAGGCGCCACCGCTGCCACCCGCGGTATCCTCGTCCAACAGACCACCATACAGTCCGCCACTGTACGCGCTACCAAACTGCTGCTGCTCAGCGGCGGCCGCAATGCGACGTTTGCCCGCAGGTGAAGCATTGATGCAACCTCCTGCAAAAAGCAAACAATTGCTATTAGGAACACACATGACGTATAACTTCTAACTGCTTGCATATAGATATCCGCCTTGCCTCTCTAAATGAGGAATATGTGCTTTCATTCACTTACCAGTATCCTTATCACAATGACAGCATGACTGATCCTCCGGTGCCGCATCGGTGGGACAGCAGGGCACACACTGATTATTCAAACGATCCAAATGCAGAGGGAACGCGCAAGTTTTGCATGAATACTGGCCAGGGCCGGAGCAGGAACGACACGAGTCATGACACGTTTTACATGTTTGCGTGGGTGAGTCATAGTACTGTGAGCCCAGGCACTCCATGCAGAGACCGCCGTCAAGCATGAAATGCAGCGGACAGGATGTGCAGGCCAATGGACCGGCGCCTGAGGCAATTGTGGTGCGCGGGCACGAAAGTTGGTGAATGGAGAAAGTGGGCAAAAATAATAATAATAGAAAATAAAGCAAATGAGAAATGTATTCATGGAAAGTTGGTTGGCAAATCTAGCGCCGCAGCAAAGTGTTGGATTTGCGAAAATTGAAATTCAGCAAATCCATACACTCAGCGGCGGCACGTCTTGCAAGTCACTGCATTGCTAAGCAGCTTTACAACAATGCGGAGCAAAGTACACACAACTTACCGTTGCAAGTTTTGCAATAATGATGACACTTCTGACAGCCAAACTCGGACTTGTAGAAACCCTCCGGGCACTCGGGATGACATTCGCCGCCAGCCAACTGCCAATCTGTCGGACACTGAACGCACTGGTCGCGCCGCGGACCGCTGCAGGTGTGGCAGCTGAGGTAACACTTGGCGCAGGTGCCACGGTCGCTGTAGTAGCTGTAAGTGAGGAGGATAAAGTTTTTACGCTAGTGTTTACAGAGAAATAATCTTAAATTTTGAATTTTTTATGCTGGTCATTACGGGCAATACAGCGCAAAAGTGCCGCAGCGCGCAATAGTTCTGAACGTAAGCGGGAAGCGGAAAGTGTGCGCAGCTGAAAATGTGAAAAAGTTGTCGATAAATTTTCTTCCTACTTTAGTGTCATTGTCGTTTTTCGTCGCTGCTGCTACGTACAGCTGCTTGTTAGCACGAAAGTTCAAGGCAGCATGACGCGCACCTCTTCAACTTTAGTAAAACTTTTAATGGTGACGAAATCTTTTCGCTGTTGTAAGAAGTTGTTGTTATCATTTTAAGTTGCGTTTCTTCTACGAACATGTTTGTTGTTCTTAATATTTGAACAGTGCAAAAAGTTTTAGTAGCGTTAATCACAAGCGCTTTTAAAATGACAAGCAACAAGAAAATTGCGTTAAATAAATTTTTTATGAAATCAATAAGAGAAAAATAAGTTAAAAATTGTGT